CTGTTCCCAGTAACTGGGTGAGTCTGGCAAACAGCTCCTGTAGAGGTTCTTGTCTGCGCACATGCACACACACGCTCAGGTTGAACAATAAAGGCGAGTCAAATCCTGCAGTGAGATCAACAGAGCTGGATTCCTCTGCAAACAACACCAGTGGCTCCTGCCAGGTGATGCTCTGTCCCCCGCGTGGGTGGCTATGGGCACTGCAAATGCAGCAGCAAACCCCAGGCAAGACCAGAGCGGCTGGGGACTGGCACCGGGCTCACACCGTCCCCCAGCTATGGGGCAGCCAGCAACCGTTGCTAAGAATCACAAATTACGCAATTATAACCCACTTTTTAAATGATTTCGCCTTAGTTATAGTTTTGCAACAGCACATCAGTATCTCCAACCTACAGCAACCTGCAGCCACCGCCCTGCCGGTGCTGGGGCGTCCCAGATAAAACCTTTCCCAAAGAGTGGCACAGACCAGGTGGCAGAGCACGGCAGTAGGGACCCCTGCAGTGGGACCCTGCCCTGCCAGCTGCCTCCAGTCCTGTCCATGTGGGACTGGGATATGTCCCTAAGGGGACCGTCCCTCTCCCCAGAGCGCCGGTGGCTCCCAGGAGGCTGAATCAGCCCCTCCCTGCCTGGGCAGCTGGGTCCCCTGCTCAGCCGGGCGCCCCGCTCAGCCTGTCGCCCTGGACCAGCCCCATTTCATGCCTCTGCAGACATGGCCTGGGCAGGAATGTGTTTCCGCTCGCCCGTGGTTTACCCGGCCTCTCCGCTGCCCAGAGGCTTGCCTGGCATCACTCCGGCATGCCCCGGGGCCGAGTGCTCCGCAGCATTTTCCCAGGCCCTCCCTGGCCCGCAGAGCCCCACGCGGCGCCTCGCCGGGGCCACCGCTCCCACGGGGACGTGTTTGAAGAGCCCCATCGGGTGCTTGATACTGTGAGAGGTTTGCTCCCCGCACTCGTGGCAGACAAGGAGCTGCTCACCCAGCAGCTTTTTGGCTCCAGGAGGTCAAATAAAGTGTGTGGGAGTTTGCCAGGCTGCGGTCACGGCAGGGAGAGGCCACGGGAATGGGGGCCCAGGAGACCCTAAGCAAACCCTCGTGGGAGCCTGGGGGTGCGGAGCAGGGTGAGCCCAGTGGCAGGAGTGGACACAGGCACCCTCAACCCGAACGAGAGCAAAGGGAGGTCTCCGGAGCAGCCGGGAGCCTCCCCTCAGCCAGGAGCTGCCTTTGCACGATCCTATCTGCAGGATCAGGAATTTGAGCTATGTTGTAGAGAGTCTGCATGGCAGGAGCTCCGGCAGGAATCTGGGGGCTGTGGCCTTCGAAATGAAAAGCCCAGGAGAGAGGGAAGACGGCAAGAGCCATCAGCAGGTCTGATTTCTTGCTAAGGCAGCAGCTCCCTGCCCCACGGTAAAACCCTACAAGGGCCAGGTGAAGAGGGGGGCCGGATCCCCCCAGCAGCCTCTCACCTGCAATTTCGGCATTTCAGGAGGAGCCAGGCAGCCATGGCGAGAAAGTTCAGGTGCCTTTTCGCATGGGCAGAAGGTTTCCCCTAAGGCAGTTGGGTGGGGAACGGAAACACCCCGTGTTTTGCAGTGCTGAGCTGTATATTTGGGTATTCCAGCAAAGGGCAAGTCCCTGTGCCCCCTCTGTCATCCCTCTGCCAACTGATCTGGAGCGAGCACAGGGACAAGATGCTGATGTGCTTCGGCAGCTCTCAGCACCAAGGAGCCCTCGGAGGAGGGTACCCCCGGGTACGTGCCCGGGGCATGTCACCCTGCTGTCACCCTGCTCCGGCTCGGTGGGGTGACAGGGGAAAGGCTTCAGTGCCAGATGTGAACACTAAAAACACCCAGTGACTTCCAGTGGCCCGACCTCGGGTTCTCCATAAAGGAAAAAGCCGAGCAGCAGAGCAGGCATCTGCCCAACCAGCAGAAAACCCTCTAAGTCTCTTTAAAAGGGTCTTAAATGGGGCATCACAGGAGGCAGCACTCGGCCGCCCGCAGGGGCTGGGACCCAGCCCTGCCTTTGATCTCCAGCTCCCTGCCTGCCAACAGCATCCTGGACATCCTGGCTGTCCCCCTTTGCTCCGGGGCTGCGTGCCCGGGCAGGAGACCTCCCCCGCAAGCACGGGGGTGCAGGAGTCACGGGAGCCTGGGAGCCGGCAGCCGGGGCAGCTGC